ATGCCTCCTGCTGTCTGTCTCCCTGAATAGGGTGATTTAAGTTATTTACCTTCTTGTTGGGGAGAAGTGCGAACCATTTACTCTCAAGTGTCCCTGCTTTAGGGAAGACAGGGTTTACTGATGGCTGCCAACTGCTTGGCATCTAGATTTTCTAGATAAATGGCATTTAAATATATAAAATAAATATCAAAAATATAAGTCTTTGTTTTACTATGGTTGCAAATATCAAAAAATTTCTATATGTGACACAGCACCAGGGTTAAGTTAGGGTTTTTCAAAATGCTGACATGCCGAGCTCAAAAGGTTCGCCATCACTGGTTTAGGAGATGCATGACTGTGGGGAAAGAAGTGGCGGGGGAGGGGTGGGTGTGCTCCTGGGAAGGAGAGAGCATACACTGGGACCTTCATTTTGCTGGCTTCAAAGGCTGGTGTTTAGGGGAGATCGCAATAGAATATTCATCAGCTTTATCCTGATGTACCAAAATGAGATTTATTCTTTTAACTGCAAGTCCTTCCTCCTGTGACATGTTTTCTGATGGGCAGGCCTGCTTTTAGCTGCTGCCTCCTGCATTCAGTTGGGGCCTTCTCATCACGCTGACCCAGCATGTGCAGGGCCACTGCTGGGCCTTCCCACTCCCACAGCAACCTCTGTCTGACCCTCTCCTTGATGCTCCCTAGTGAGTTCACGGTTCTGCACTGAGTGCCTAAGTAAATGTTCAAAATCCTTTCTACAAACTCATTAATAATCCATTGACTTCCTCCCTTTTAAAAACATCTTCTGAAAGCCAGACTGAGTAACCGGTTTCCTGATTGCCTTTAAAAGACCCCAGGTGGCCTTGACCTTCCATAGACAATGGCTTTAGTAGCAAAGTGCCTCTAGAGATGCAGCTGAGGAGTTAGCATTCAAAAGCTCCTAGTTTCCAGAGACAAAGGGAAGGCATTCAGGAGAAAGAGATGAGCAGAGGTGCATGCACCCGCTTGGTGTGGCAAGACTGTCTCTGGGAAGAATGAGCTGGAATAAATAGAAGAACAGGTGATGTAAAACTGGTTGTTGAGAAGAATCAGGAAGAAGTCATTTTGTGTCAGAAAAATGAGATGTGTGGACGATAGGGCCACATACTAACCTGACAAGACCTGCGTAGCGGTCTTGCAAACTCAGAGACCTAAAGTAACCACAAAGAATGGTCTGAAATTAAACTTTAACTAAAAGCAGTTATGGTGGGTAGTTACAACCTAGGCCAGTATCTTCACTGACAAGGTCAACCTTTACCGTAAGTGAGCCTATCTAATAACATACCCTTGAAATATCTGGGTAACTTGTAACTTCCCTTTTTCTGGACCCCTTGGGGCACAACCTAATGTGCCTGGGAGCCAGAACAGATACCACAAATTCCTTCATTGTTATCATGTTAATTGTTCCTGTACCCACCTAAGTATGTGTCTATCATTTTACTTTTTATCTAATCCCAGGGGTTCCCCCTCCCCATTCCTCACCCTTGCTTTGCTTTCTCCCGCCTCTCTGGTCTATCACCAATGATTTCATGTAACCCACCTACGACCCTTCCTTTGATTGCAATGTATAAATATAGATGTAACCTGCCATTCTCCGGAGCATTATCTCAATTCATTGAAGTTTTGCTTCCCGGCAATTGTCGACAGTTTGGCTCAAATAAACTCACAAAAATTCTTTACAGGTTTTGATGTTTTTATGTTAATAGATGCCTGTAGAAGTGACTTTAGTTTTCTGTAGGAGAACAATGCCAGCCATATATTTTGGGGGATTAGATATCTGGGTATAGAAATTCCCCCTTTAAGGCTAGATTTAGTTTTTTCCTCTCATAAAATATTTTGTTCATGTTTTCTGCTTAATTGAACATTTTCAGTTCTATAACAACTTGAGCTGATTGAGCTAGCATATATAATATTTTCAAAATTAAATTCTGCAAAAGTCCCAATATAAAGTGTTTCTGCAATATAACTAGGAATTCCTGTGTTGTAATGTACCCCGCGAATCACAGAAGGACGCCTCCAGAAGTCGAATTAAAGAGTCACATTTATTGCAATCCGGGACTATGAGGGGCCATTCCCAAATCTCATAGCAATAAGATGGTGGCAAAACCAGACTTATATAGGCAAAAATCACAAAGGTATTGATTACATCTCAGGGTTTGGAATGAGGCACCTGGCTCACAAAAAAGCAGATTACAGAAGCAGAATTAAGCATGTTAACTACAGTTTCAGTTCTCGGGGTCACTGAATTGACAGATATACATTATCTAGCACCCTTGGGTAACCTGGGTTAAACTTAGGCATGTTATCTAAATTACAGTTTTGGGTCTCCGGATCACTGAGTTGATAGAAACACATTATCTAGAGCCCTTGGGTCTCCCGACCACTGAGTTGTCAGGACAATTTAGAGTAATTGTGCTGTCCTGGTCTTGGGACCACTGAGGCAGCTGGAACACACCACCTGTGGCCACTAAAACAATTTAGGCTAATTGTGCTGTCCTGTTTCCCAGGTACAGAAGAATGTGCTTCCATAACCAGTAAGATCACAATCAATGGGATAGTCATTCAATCAATAAGGCATTCAATCGAATGGAATGATTTATACAATTCAGAAAATCAGAATAACCTGTCCATTGTTAAACAAAGCAAATAGGTACCATACTTCACCTGCTTCTGTAATAGGGAGCCATGGAGTTGGCAGGACTTGTTAGGGGCACAAGGATACTGGCCCTGCTATTTCAATGAACTGCGAAACAAACCATGACCTGCCATTACCCCATTATGCCCCTGTTCCCTAGGTCTTGAGGGGAGGTAGCCTTCGTTCATGCCACAAGTATTTATTTAGGAGCTATTTAATTAGGTATACACAATGGTGGTCAGGCAAAGACAGGTAATAATCAAATAACAAATATATAGTTATTAAGGCCACTGGTTTGTAATTAAATAGTTCTGGGTCCAAATCTTGGTTCTTTCTCTTAACAGCCATGTAACCATGGGCAAGATACTTCCCCTCATACAGTGTCCATTGCCTCATCTGTGAAAGGGGGATTAAAAATGCTTGGCTTACCCTAACTGACTGGCTCAGTGGATAGAGTGTTGGAATGAGGATTGAAAGATCCTGGGTTCAATTCCTGTCAAGGTCACGTACTTCAGTTGCAGGTTCGTGGGGCGCGCGTACTAGAGGCAACCAATCTATGTGTCTCTCTCACACCAATGTTTCTCTCTGTGTGTCTCTCCCTCTCCCTTCCACTCTTTCTAAAAATCAATGGGAAAATATCCTTGAGTGAAGATTAACCAAAAAATAAAAATTAAAAAATGCCTGTCCCTGGGGGTATTGTAAAATTATGGAGGATAAGTAATATAGTGCTAACACATAGTCCCTACCAGATAGTTACCATTATTATTCTTAATGGTGTTTTGAAATTTTAGAGTGCCCTTATATCATCAAAACATTCTTGCTTGGGTTGTACCTTATGATAATCTCTGAAGATTTAGAATTGTCACACAACACAGAAAAATTATAAAATGCGTGAGAGGTCCTTGAAGTCTAGGAAGGGATTGTTGTGGACCAACATTCACGAGAATAAGGCCACTGACTCCAATTAGGTCTTAAACAGCAAGTGAGGATTTATTGAGCTGGCCAGCATCTGCCACAGGCCTCTCCTGTAACAGCCCCGAGCTTTGTGCCCAGCGAGCTTTTATTCACAGAAACTACAAACGTCCTTGATTTACAGTTACAAGGGTCTAATCAGGACCTTGACGCGCCCATGTCTGGGAGTGGGAAACTTGGAGTTATGCCTGGTTACCTATCCTTGACCCCATCCTTGTTAAAATTTTTTACTGACATTCAATGCATCACAGGATGACCACCTGAGGACAGATGGACAGAAGATTAGGGACATGAGGCCAAAAGCACTCACCTAGAGTCATTTCAGCACAATGCTTGGGTATGGAGTGCACTGTTCTCGTGGTTGGATAGGGAGGTAAAGAACTACTGTGCCCTTGGACTTTCTCAACCAAGCCAGCTTCCACCATCATTGTTTCCCCCTGCTTTGCTTTGGTTGCTGAGCCCTCAAATATGTGGGATGCACTGAAATATGTGAGCTGTTGGCAGAATCTCTGGCATGCGAGTCTAGGCCTTGTCTTGCTAAAGCTTGCTGACCAGTGATCCATCTGGGAAGCTGGTGTCCTTCCCCCTCTTGCCTTGTGTAGAAAAATAAGAAGGAAATAAAAAATGACATTCTTGACTTCTATTGGACTGATTTTACAATTTGTCCTAGCAAACTGGATTTGTCAGTAGACATGAGTGAACTGTGCCTTAATTTCAGTCTGTAACTCCTGACCTATTCATAATCTAATCAGAAAGGCACTGGTTTGTTGTAAAAGTAGAGTATCCTATTTAACAAAAGCCTAATATACTAAGTTTCTGGTTGTCTGTTCAACCAAAGTGTAATATGCTAATGATATGCTAAGGCTGCTTAACTACTTGCTATGACATGCACTGACCACCAGGGGGCAGACAGTTGACCAGTAGGTTAGCTTGCTGCTGGGGTCCAGCCAATCAGGACTGAGTGAGACAGGCCGGATACGCCCTGGTGCCCTCCCACAATCCCTCCCGGGCTGGCCGACCTCCCGTGTCCCTCCCTGGCCCCAATTGTGCACCGGTGGGGTCCTTCAGCCTGACCTGTGCTCTCTCACAATCCGAGACCCCTTGGGGGATGTTGCAGAGCTGGTTTCAGCCCAATCCTGCAGGCCAGGCTGAGGAACCCCACTGGTGCACAAATTCGGGCACTGGGCCTCTAGTGTGAATATAAATCACCAAATAAAACAATTAACTAAACCAGTTACCTGGCTCATGAAAAATAATGTCATCTGTTCCTTATGTCCTGTTCCTGTGGATGGGACAGTAAGCACATCATTAATTTGGCTTGTTTTCCTGCCATTTAGAGCTTTCAGTGAATAAATTGATAGTGGCTGTTTTTAAGGGTTCTTAGTGAGACATTGGCCATTATTCTTCCAGCAGTTTCTTCTGTTACTATTTTTTGTTAGTTAAAAACAAACAAACAGGTAATCATTATGAAAAACTTAGGAAGTATAGCTAGAAAAGCAAAATGGGGGAGAAAAATGCATCCAAAATCCCCGTGGCATTTACCTGTAGATAGTGCAGAATGTATGGTTCACTCACTCTGCTCTGGATTATGGCATTTGGTCATCATAATAATCCTAATCCCCATTTCTCAGATGAATAGATGGAAGCTTGGAGAGTTTGGGGACCATCCTCAGCTGGGAAGCAGGAAGCCAGGGCTTGATCCGAGATGGTGTAACTTCAGACAAGCCAACACTTTAGGGCTGGACAGAGCCAGGATTGAAGATTGATGGTCATTAAAAATCACTGAAAACAATTGCAAGAGGACAACAGCTAATAATAATTTATGCCAGCAGCAAAAAAGGTGGCCGAATAGGCAGACCTGTCATGTACCTCATCCCAGGACCAGATTGGAAAAACAAAATCGGAGAACATTCGCCTGGAATTACCAACTGAGGTCCAGCTGAGGAGACTTATATCAAGGAAGGACAGAACACACCTGGGGACCAGTAGGAAGGGCGAGGTCACCGGAGGAGCGGACCCAGCTTCCAGGGGCAGCAGGCGGCGGGCCGAGAGTGAGGAGGGAGCACCTGGCTATGGGAGGGTCTGTTTCCTCAGAAGATAGAGACGGGAACCAGCTGGGCTCCACAGCCCGGAGCACCAGAGCGGAGACCTGCAGCCCACGTAACATCCAGCAGTGAGAGGCGGCAGGCTGCTCGCCTGGTGGAGTCTGGAGCCGGTTGTAGAGAAAGCTGCAGTTTCATTTCGTTTGTTTGTTTTTTAACCCAGAGCACAAGAGTTTTCATTTGCAGCTACTCACCCGAGGCTTTGGTGCAGGGAGGGAGACAGGGAGTGGAGGTGCCTAAGGAGATGCTGGGGTGGAAGCACTGCAGGGAGACTTGGAAAAACAGCAGCCAGGAACATTTGCTCATCGGCCCCCAAACCGAAATGGCCATTTTTCCTGAGAGGAAGTAGCTGCTCCCAGCAGTCACAGGACAGGAAAAGAAAAAAATGCACCCTGGGTGACACAGCCTGCCCCACCCTCAGGAGCCTGCATGCCACACCCTGTATTTTGTTCTTTTCCGAGGAAATAAAGCAGATGCCAGGCCTCTGGGTTGGAACAGTCGCAGGAGCTCTCAGTGACAGGATTCGGGGAGGACTATCCCGGGAACCAGACGGGTACTTTCCCCACACTAGAGAGCAGATAAAAACTGCAGGTTTCCAGCCCACCCCGCTGGTCTTCATAGAAGGATCTCTGTCCAGCTGAGGGCAGAGTAATACTTTGGGCCACTCACGGAGGAGTAGCTCTGGGACAGCGACCCCCCCCCCACACACACCCCTCCCTAAAGCCCTTTCAGAAGCAGACTTTTGAGTGATTAAGATTGACAGCTGGCTGACAGGCAAAGGCGGGCAGAGGCGGAGCCTGGGGAACCAGGGAAGTTTGCAGACCCAGCCCAGGGCCCCGTGCTGCTAACAAACCTACCTTAGAGGACAGACTGGCCCCTCCTGATGGCAGCCAATAACTGTGGGGACAGACACCAACGGTGGTTCAGTGGATCTCTTGGAGCTTCAAGCAGGCTGCTGAAAGCAAAGGGGACAGCGCCTGACAGGGTCAGCACCTGAGGACCTCGCAGGAAGCCCAGAGTGGGCAGACAGGTGGGATCCGAAGCGAGCTCCCAGGGGGCACCAGACTCTGCTGAGAAGAAACCACTTCTTTTCTTTTTTCACTTTCTTTTCCTTTCTTTTTTTCCTTTTAAAATTTATCTTCTTTGTCTGCGTTATTGATTTGTTATTATTCTAGTCCAGTGGTCGGCACACTCATTAGTCAACAGAGCCAAATATCAACAGTACTTCTTCAAAATAGACTCATCCAGGCCAAAAACTGACTTCTGCGCATGGGCCACAAAGTTTCAATCGCACTGTACGTGCGCGCCCACATGTGGTATTTTGTGGAAGAGCCACACTCAAGGGCCAAAGAGCTGCATGTGGCTCGAGAGCCCCAGTTTGCCAACCACGGTTCTAGTCTCTGTTGTTTCATTCATATATCTAATTTTCCTCTTCCCTTTCCTACTCATTTGTTTTCTTTTTTTACTACTCATTATTTTTTTCCTCTTTTCTTTCTCTCCTGATTTCTCATCTTTTTTCCTTTTTCTTATTTTAGGTCTATCCACTTTCTCCTCTATTTTCCTTTTCAAACATTTTTTCTTTTCTTTTCTCCCTTCTTCATTTTAAACCATTTTCCTCCCCCTATTCCCCTAGAGATATTTTCTTTATCTCAGCTCTGCATCTACATATTCCTCCCCCCTTTTGTCTGTACTCTCTATTGTTTTGATGTAGTACATTCACATTACTGTGCAGCCATTACCACCACCCATCTCCAGAATTTTTCATCTTGCAAAACTGAAGCTCTGTACCTATTAAACTAATTCTTCATTTCCTTCCCCTCCCAGCCCCTTCATTTCAGATGAGGACAGTATTTTGGGAATGATAATGTTCCTTTCTTGTCTTTTATTTTTTAATTGAGTTTATTGGGGTGATGTTGGTTAATAAAATTATATTAACCAATGGTTTAAGGTGTACAATTCTGTAATACATCAGCTGTATGTTGTATTGTTTTCACCACCCCAAGTCAAGTCTCCTTCCATCACCATTTATCCCTCCTATAACTTCTTTTACCTCTCCCCACCCTCCTTTTCCCTCTGGTAATCACCATACTATTGTCCCTGTCTATGTGTTATTCTTGTTGTTTTCCTTAATCCCTTCACCATTTTCATCTAGCCCTGCAAAGCACCCTTGCTCCCCGACAGCTGTCAGTCTGTTCTCTATATACTAGTATGTTCATTTCTTTTTTTGTTTGTTTGTTTGCAGTTTAAAAGGTCTCACACATTTATTACTGAACCAACCTACTACTGCAGAAAAAAAATCAACAGAGCAAAACCACGAGTCCATTAATTTTCCAATTAAAAAGCCCCAACTACACAGA